GATTGCCTTTCTTTTCCCTACAGAGCAGTTGGTGGATTGGAACTAGATTCCTGCCTTTGGGTTGGCAGCACAACTCCTCTACCCACCAGGCAACCAGAGCTTATACTGTCAAAAAACCCAGACAAACCTATGCTGAAGTGCAGCCCAGAAGCAAACATTGTGAGACTCTGTCTCACCGACTTTAGGCATGTTGTTAGAAGACATCAGTCCTTGAAGGGGACATTATGTTTGGAGGAAGTGGTGAGTTGGCGAAGAAGAGATGCACTGATACAGTGATTACAGCTTTGGGCTGAGGTGTAGCGGAGGCTGTGAGGATGGGCCTGAGTCAGGCAAGGTTTCTGTCTGTTGTGATATGAGTTACTATGCGTCTAAGTTGACGGGGAGGCACCTATCAGGTTATACAGCTAAACAGAAACCTAGCCCCATTCATTGCTGCTAAACTGATGCCAGCTGATTACAACCATCAGATAGCAGGGGCCTGCCCCAGAGTCTCCAAGGCCACCGTCTTCCCCACTGACTGCCACGTCTTTCCCCCTGGAGCGGCTGGTAGGTTCAGACAGTGTTTTACTTAGTATCTGAGCACTTCCTAGAGCTTCTTAGTTACCCAATCAAGGAACTTTGTTTTACTTTGTTGTTGTTGTTAACTGCCATCAAGTCGAGTCATAGATAACCCATAGCGACCCTATGAACAAAAGACCTGAACCCTGTTGTATAACCATCATCGCCTCTCCAAGTTCCTAGATTTTTTTTTAAATTTTTTTAATTTTATTATTTTTGTGAGAGTGTACCGTCAAATCAGATCTGACTGGTACAGGAGGAGATTGTCCCTCCTTCCCCCGGCAGAGCATCTGGTGGATTCGAACCGTGTGCCTCTGGGATTGTAGTTGCAGCTCCTTGCCACTAGGCCACCAGAGCTCCCCTAGATTTTTTTTTTAACTGAATATACAGTAAGATATATTTCACTCCTAAAATACATATCATAGAACTTTCTGAACAAACATAAAAGGAATTATGCTTCAGTACGCTGACTAAACTGTAATATTTTGGCTTTGAAAGGACTTCACAATTTAAGTGTCTTGACTTTTAGAGTCAGTAACATTGATTTAATCAATAATGAGTGCTTTTTATATACCAGATGTTGTTTTAGATGTGGAAAGCCCATTTGTGAACAACACAAGCACAGCTTACTCATTCATTCTCCTTCATAGATTTATTGAAGGCCCATTATATATGCTTGCTTCATTCTTCTGGGTTCTGTAGATGCAGTGTTGTTGTTACGTGCCATTGAGTGGCTTACAACTCATAGCAACCCCATCCTGAGCCAATCTCACCGCCTCACTGTGTCAGTCCATCTCAATCAGGTTCTTCCTCTCCTGCGCTGGCCCTCCACCCTCTAAGTATGATAGCCTTCTGCAAGGACTGGTCCCTCCTAGCAACTTGTCCAAAGTATGTGAGACATAGATGCATTTGGGGGCGGGGAGTCAAAACCCCAAATCACTCACCTTGGGAGCTTGGATTCTAGTTGTAGAAGAGAAGTCGGCCCGATAAAGAAGTACAGTTTATTATATGTTGCTGTTATGTACCATTGGGTCAGAGCTGACTCGTGGCAGAAGAGCACATGGGAGGAGATTGTCTTTCTCCCTCGGAGCACCTGGTGGATGGCATTTGCATTCCTTTAGGTTGACGGTGTGACCCCCTTACCACTTATCCCCCAGAGCTCCCTTTTAAGCTACATGACTAGTGGTAAGAAGCTGAGCTGCAGTCTCAAGGGCACAGGGTTTGAATCCAGCAGCTGCTTGGCAGAAGGACAGGCCATCTGCTCTGCTGTGGTTAACAGCCTCTGAAAACCCGTTGGAGGGTCAGGTCTGGATTGCTTCTCTTGGCCAGTAACAACAGCAGCAGCATGAATGCTTTGGAGAGAAATGAAGGAGTGAAGGAATAGGGAGTAGAGTGAGGGTTAGGAATCTAGTTGATTCTGAAGACCTTGCTGAGATGGTGATAATAGTATCAAATGGGAGAGATGGTCCAGCTTTCTTGGAGATGTCAGAAAAAGGTACACGGATGAGATCATTTCAGGTAACAAGTGTTTGTAAGTCAGTGTATGGTCCAAGAGTGAAGCTGTTGCGGGCATCCGGGAAGTCAGCTGACACGTGAAAGGAGTGACATTACTGTTCCTACAGGGTCACAAGTAAGTCGAAACCAGCTCAGTGGCACACATTTGAGGAAGTGCCACACTACCTTTCACGGTGGCTCTGCTATCTCATGTTCGGAAGCAGTGGTGGTCGTGGTGTTTGCTGTCGAGTTGCGACTCTTAGCCACACTGTGTACAGCAGCTCTGAAGCTTGCTCTGTCCTGAGCCAGTCTCATTGACTCCAACACACCTACCTCCATTACCCCAGTTCTTCATGTGTTTGTTAGCCATCTGAATGTTGTCGTCTTCGGTGAAGTGCCTGCTCATATCCTGTGCCCATTTTTCTATTGGATTCTTTACCTTTATCTTGTTGTGGTGCTCAAGTATTTCATAAATTCTGGATATAAGTCCTTGTCTGATATGTTATTACCGAATACTTTTTCCCAGTCAGTGGCCTCCCTTTTTACCCTGTTGGAGAAGTTTTTGGATGTGCATAGGGATTTGAGTCTTAGAAGATCCCATTCATCTACGTTATCTTCTCCTGGTTGTAGGTGCCTTATGCTTTTTATCCCTCTTGTATTAAATAGCCAGTTTATGATTTGCCCTTCCCTCCTAAACCCTTGTGCTGAGGAAACAAGCATGCTCCTTTGTCTGAAGGGTCTCTGTTACAGTTATAACTTTGGACATTGGCAGAGTCTAGTCTAGACCAAGCTGTCAGGTTGCAGCAACTGGCACTAGCTCACAGCATGAAACGTTTTCATTTGGTTGGGCTCTGGTCAGCTCAGCCTTAACCATTCGTGGTGTCCAGTGGACACCAGCTACAAACTCGGCATTCCCCATCTTCAGTATTTTAGACAAGGTGGCCCGTTGCCCCGTCTTCCTGCATTTCAGACCAGGTGGTCTATTTAATCTCCTAATTCAGTGTACTGGGTTGGCCTTGATCCTTCTTGTAGCCTAAGCTTCTCGGCCCACTACCAAATTTGACTTTCAACAAGCATATCTCCAGGGTAAATCTTGGATTTTATCACATCAATGAAGTGCTGACCAGAGGTGTGTTAAACGCTTTCTAAATCTGTTGTATCAAGTATTCATTCCTACTATGAATCTTAACACTATTGCATAGAAACGTAGACGAAACATCAATATCAATCAAGTAAAAGCAACAAAGCTCATTAACATGTTGCTGTTAAGTGCCATGCAGTTGGCTAGGACTCTTTGAACAGTGGATCTGAACCCTGCCTCATCCTGTGCCACCCTGATCGTCTCTGACACACTCAGGCCCACACTTACCCTCACGTGTCAGTCCATCTCACTGATGGTTTTCTTCTCCGCTGCCCCACCACCTTTGAAAACATGATGTTCTTATCCAGTGACATTAACAACAACAAAAATGGGTCCGACATTGGCTAGAATAGCTCCAGAGTAATGTGTGGTGAAAGCCCTGGTTTGGCCTCTCTGGCCTGGACCAAGAAATGAATTAGAGGAGAGACCAGCGGAAGATCGGCTGTCGGTGAATGAACCCCCTGGTTTGACCTGCTTATGTCCTGCTCTAAAACAGTCCCAGCAGAGGCTGCGCCCTGGTTAGAGCACTTGGTTCAAAGTCAGGGTGAGGCGACAGGAGTGAGGTGGAAGCAGGGGTAGTTTTATTAGTACAGATATGTCTCACAGAGTGAGACGGTCATGTCTCCAAAGTAGAGCCGTGGAATAATACCCTGCACCGTATGTGGCAATGGTTGATGTAGCGGGCTGCCTCCGCGTTTGGAGGAGATCGAAATTGCCGGTGACTTCATCTTGCTTGGATCCACACACAGCAGCCTGAGCACGGAAATCAGAAGACGGTTTGCATTGGGGAATTCTGCCAGGGACCTCTCCAAAGTGCTAAGGAGCATGGGTAATCAGTGTGAAGACGACAGTGTACCTGACCCAAACCCTGATCATTTCACTGACTAACTGTTCATCTGAAAGTTGGACGATGACTAAGGATGACCAAAGAATCAATGCCTTTGAATTACAGTGTTCAAGAAGAGTACTGAATGTCCCACAAACTGCCAAAAACCCAAACAGATACATCTTGGAGAAACCATGGTGTTCCTTAGAGGGGGAAACTTCATCTTAAATACATGGGGCATGTTGATACTCGGGACCCGCCTTTGGAAAAGTGGAGGGTCAGTGAAGGAGGAGAAGACCCTCAACGAGACGGATTGGCAGAGAAATGGTAGGAGTGGACTTGAGTGTGTCAGCGATGTTGAGGTGGCATAGAAAAGTGCAGGGTTCAGAGGCGTTGTTCCGAGGGTTGCTCTGAGTCATAGTGGGTTCATAACACCACCTAACAACAACAACAACAGGGGCAACGGAACATCAGGTGCATTCATTTAGTCCAGGTTAATGAGCAATGGGAATGGAAATGAAACGGAACTTAATGTTCCTTGGTTCTTAGGAGTTCCTTTGCTTTTACTGTGCTAGTACTATATGTGAAGAATAAAAGAGATTAACTGGTAAGTTGGCCAAAACATGATAGAATCAGTAGCATGGAGATTTCTGCAATTGGGTGGTTGAACTTGAACGGCAGTGATTATACAAATAACTGAAAATTAATATTTTTCTGTTCTCATTAATGCAGTTCAAATCCCTAATGAATAAGGAGTGTCAAACTCTTGATAGTTTAACGGAATAGTTCAATCTCTTTATTTTTTTAAAAAATCAGACCAAAATCCCTGGTATGTTATATGAATATTTTTTAAAATAAATTTTTTCTGATTGTATTTAAAACTTTTTATGTTAATATTTTAAAATATCAGTGGTTTAACTAGATGTTAAAGTATGTGTCAGTAATTTGTGTTTAATAAAACTTCTTTCTCTATAGGTATCATTAATGGGATTGGAAATTTTAAGTGCCTTTGTGGATAGATTATCGACACGATTTAAATCCTATGTAGCAATGGGTAAGTTATCTTTTATTTATTT